CGGTGATGAAATCCAGGGAAACACTTTCCCAAGGTCTCTTTGGGATAGCTAGTGGTTCCAAGAGTCCCGCCTGTGTTAAGCGGTCTGACTTGTCCTTCTGGCATACTAAACAAGTCTTCACATACTGAGCAACGTCATCGGCCATTTGAGGCCAATAATATGCACGGCGAAGTAACGCTATGGTGCGTTCTTCACCAGGATGGCCGGCCCACAGAGTATCTTGACATTCCGCCAGAAGAGTCCTACACAGATCTCCTACTTTAGGAACATAAAGTCGGTTCCCTTTCACTTTCAGAAACCCATCTTCCATGTAGAACTGGCGAGTCTTGCCCTGTCCTACCTAATCAACCAAATAATGTGCAGCAAGATCTTTGATGAGTAAATCTTGTATCTGGTCCTTGATGGAGGTGGCGAGTAGGCACACTGATGCTAGATCAGCTCTCCGACTGAGCGCATCAGCAACATGATTGGTATTCCCACTTCGCTACTCCAGGTTGAAGTGGAATTCAGCTAGGAGTTCCTGCCACCTGGCCTGTCAACCATTCAACTTCGGTTGGGTCATGAAATGGATAACAGCTGTGTTGTCTGTCTTGACCACGAACGGGGTCCCCAGCAGATAGTGCCTCCAGAGGCACAAGCAGTGGACGATAGCCAATAATTCTTTCTCATGGGAGACATAGCGCCGCTCAGCATCTTTCAGCTTCCAACTCTCGTACGCTACAAGATGCCCTTCTTGTAGCAGGACTCCACCGAGGGCATAGTCAGATGCATCTGTTTGTACTTTGAATGGCTTGGCCAGATCAGGAAGGGCCAAGACGGGGCTACTAGAAATAGCCGCTTTCAATGCGTTGAAGGCCTCCGCTCGCTTGGGTCCCCATTCCCATAGCGTGACCTTCTTGAGGAGTTCTGTCAATGGTACTGCAATGAGGGAGTAGTTTTTCACAAATCGCCGATAGAAATTGCATAGACCAAGGAACGCCCTCAAGGCATAGATATCCTTAGGCGGCGGCCAATCTGTGATTGCCTGAATCTTCTGCTGGTCCATCTTGATCCGCCCTTCCTCTATGACATGTCCGAGGAAGTCAATTTGCTTTTGAGCAAATGAGCACTTAGATAGCTTCGCATATAGTTCATGTTCCCGCAATCGAGCTAGGAACTTCCGCAAGTGCATTAGGTGTTCCTCCAATGTTTGGCTATATACCACAATGTCATCCAAGTAGACCACTACGAATTCATCAATGTACTCTCGGAAGACTTGGTTCATCAAAGTGCAAAACGTAGTTGGGGCGTTAATCAAGACGAATGGCATAACCAGGAAATCGTACGATCCATATCTTGTCACACAGGTCGTCTTGTGCTCATCACCCTCTGCAATCCGAACTTGCTAATAACCTGTCTTCAAGTCTATTTTGGTGAACACTATCGCACCACCTAGTCTATCGAACAAGTCTGCCATTAGCGGAATAGGGTACTTGTTCTTCACAGTAATTTTGTTTAGAGCCTGATAGTCCACACAGAGTCGTAGACTACCATCATGTTTCTTTTGGAATAGCACAGGGGACCCGTATGGGGACTTGGAGGGCACGATAATCCCTGTGTCTAGCATTTCCGTCAATTGTCTCCGAAGCTCGGTGAGTTTAGGTTGTGCCATTCCGTAAGGTGCCCGGGCGGGTGGCTTCGCGCCCGGCACCAGCTCAATCTCATGGTCCACAGTGCGCCTAGGCGGTAGTCGCTTTGCCATGTATTGTGGCATGACATCTTCAAACTCTAGTAGTAGCTCCTTCACGGGCTCAGGAATGGGGCCCGAGGAGCGTTCTACATCTTCAATGCAGAGGGTTGCAAGGAACGTCGGTTCATTTCTTTTGACCCCCTTCTTCAACTGCAAGGCCGAGATGTTTTCAACGGCCATCTTCATGGGCATGCACGGGATAATGCATGGCTTGGTCCCGTTTTCTCCCATCATCAGTAACATGCCAGCATACGATACAGGCATGGTGTTGGTTTGCCTCAGGAATTCCAATCCAACTATCAACTCGAAGTCATCTATGATCACCACGCGCAGGTTGAATTTTCCTTCGTAAGGGCCAAGCTTCACCGATACTTGTTTGGCTATTCCACCCACTAGCTGGGGAGGTGAGTTGATAGCCTTGACACGACCTCTACCTTTCCTTATAACTAGACCAAGGCGCTCCACCTGAGTTGAGGCTAAGTAGTTGTGGGTAGCACCCGTGTCTACCATAGCCCGAATAGTCTTGCCATTCACCTTCATCTCAACGAACATTAAGGTCCTCGTGTGCTTAAGAGGAGTCTCATCATCCGCCTTCTTTTTCCCTTACTTGGTGACGGGACATGGGTCCTTCTTCTTACGGATGCCAGCACTAGTCTCTGCTAATGCCTCAGAAATGGAGCCAACAATTGCATTGAAGGCACCTACTGGTTCAGTCTGATCCGCATCGTCTGA